AGCTAAAAATGCTGGATGCAAAGGAAGAGTGAAAGAGAGGGATTAAAGAATAGGCTGGTACCACCCCCAGTACGATCTTTTCGTTGATGTCTTCGTGTCACTCTTACAGCTGGTGTATTTTTATTGAGGGAGAATTACTTCTGACTCGCTCACGGTGGATTGTTGTGTGTGGTTTTTTTTTTAAAAAGCTGATTTAATTGCTGTTGTGCAAGTTAGACTGAAAACCAGTTTAACGCGGTAGCCTAACATCAGTGGAGTTTGTCAGGGTGACCTGCACCGTATTTTTTGGTCAGAGCAAGTGGAAATGGTCAAACCTTTACAGCAAAATCTTTGTGAAACGTCCTTGTGCAGGGTACGTGTCGTGGTTTAACTCTGACCAGCAAAATGCCACGAAGCCGCTCTCGCTCTTCCCCCCTCCGCAGCATCCTGATGGGGCATCTGTTGTCGTCCCACTGACTTTCTATTTTTTCTATACTTTTTATAAAGAAAAAAAAAAAGGCAAAACTGCAGGCAGCCCTCCTCAGAGCTTAAAATGGGTTATTAGGCCTGAACTGGCGTGAATCGTAACTAGGTAAGTGGTGTGCGGGGGGTGTGTTTGTAACGGAAGGATAGAACCGTAGAGCCACAAGCCTTTCTTCGGGCTGGGTCAGGGAGATTTATAAGCTTAAGGCTTATATTTTCCTGAGCCAAGGCCTTTCTGCTTTTCCTAGCTGGAAACGCTGAAGTCTGTGCAGAGTGGGAACAGTGTTTAGGTAAATAATCTAGGATACGACTTTACATCTCTCTGTTAAGATATCCCAAGGCCACGCTGCCAGCAAGAATTGTTCCTGAAAATGTGTTCCCGCTTTCTCCCTTGTGCTTGTGTTTGTATAGTCAGTCAGATCTGGGAGTTAAATCAGCTGATTTGTTGTTTTCTGATTCTGTTTCCAGCTGCGTTGGTTTGCAGGCTTGACCTGACTGTAGCCACGAGCCCTGTGTCAGCATGGGGGATGAAGAAATACCGTGGGCTTTTGGAAGTAATGGGACTTGCTATTTCAGCAGCAACACAGGCTTAAACTGGCTAACGTCACAGTTTAAAAAGAAAAGAAGAAGGAAAAAATATTTATATATTCCCCATTCAAATTTTCTTTTGCAGCTTAGAGTGGGATTAAACTGCGGGGGCTGTTTTTTAACCGAAGAGGCTATAATTTATTAAATGCTAGGAGCACTAGATCAGAATATGCTTCAGATACTGTCAGTGTGCTGTCACACTTGCCACGTTTCTCCAAGTCACCTTAGTTTTCCACGCACAGTTTCAGTGAATGAAGGGTTGGAAAGACTAGTCAAAGGAAGAAACATCCTGTGAATCGGTTACCGTCGCTAGACTTGCTGTGTGTCTGAGCTGCAGCTGTTCAATACGGTTTTCTGCTCCTTTTCTCAGCAGCGTAACCTGACTGCCATAAACGCTCGATTCATAGATGCGCTAGCGAGGTGCTTAACATGGCTTCAGACACGCTGGTTTTCTTGCTGAGCTGTGCAGAAGGCCTGAGGAAGCACAGAAACAAGCTGCTGGCTTGCTGCCACCCAAAGGGCAGGTCCTTCTCTGTGTTCCTCCATCACCTGGCGCCCCATCTGCCGCCTTGGCGGGCTGATCCGGTACCCTGAGCTGTCGGAAAGCAGTCAGCTTTTTGCTGATGGAGCAGTTTCCAGCCAGCTTGGGGCACTGACGTAGCCCACGGCGCCGGTGCGAGTGGCGGGGTGGTGGGAGGAAGCTGCTCTTCTGTGCTCAGCCTCTGGTAGCTTGATTATTTCTTCCTTTCCCCCACAGGACAGTGTTTTTGTGGAGTTCGGAAGCTGTTGTGGAAGTGGGTGGTTCTGCTTTCCCTCTAAGCCCCCTAAGCAGCGATCTGCTCTGGTGATAGTGCTTCTGGTGGGAGAGGGGCAAGGAGCTGCTATTTTTCTGTTGGGTCAGTTGCTAAATTCAGTGAATTAGGAATGTGAAGTTAGCACAGTCACACCTCGAGTAGATCTGATTGCAGATTTGATAGTGTGCAATGTGAGGCTGCACCTTCCTGTACGAAAACGAGTTGAAATATCTAAGTCCATAGAGACTGAAGATTTTAAAACTACTAATAGTTTTGACTGCATCTTAAGTAACTGAAATTTGTAACTTCTATTCCTGGGAGAAAAAAATGAATGTCTGAAGTGATCAGAACACATGCTCCTCACATACCTTACAGCCACTTCTGTCCACAGAAACCTTTTCTGTCAGTGCCCCCAGAATAATCACGGAATGGTGTGGGTTGGAAGGGACCTTAAGGATCACCCGATTCCGTTCCACGTGCCCGGCTTACAGAGGAGTTGGCTGCAGTCATCCTGACCCATGTGCTCAGAGGTGTGAACAGTATCGCCCCTCCAGGATTACACTTAGGCTTTAATATGCTTTAACTGTGGAAAGAATAGTTTGGAAACACAAGCCTGGGCTTCCACCTGAATTCCAGTAATGCCTGATGAAGGGGGAGAGCCGTGGGTAAAGATCAGAAAGTGGTTCTTTAATAGGGAACACCAGTCTTGGTCTGCTCACCGGCAGTATTTGGATATGGGTAGGGTAAAGAAGATTCTTTACTTCTCTTCCATGTCATGACAGGAGCCTACTTGGGCTCTTTTTTTTTTTTTTTTAATTCACAAAGTGAAAGAGCAAAAAAAGTGGAAAACCAAGCTATATTAAGAACCACCAACCCCAATAGTAGAAGGTGTTCCATTGAAGTGAGCTGTGGGGGTGGCTGGTGGGGGGTGTCAGTGTAATGGGGTGTAAACCGAGCTTGAGGTGCCACAGGCTCTGGCTGTTTGAAACTTCCTGCGGCTTGGGTTGGGGAGGGAAACGGCTCTGAAATGTTAGGGCTCCTTAGCAGTCTTTAAATATCCAGAGCAGGTGAGGGGCAGTGAATTCCTTTGAGGCCAGAAGCCATAAAGAAGTGACATAATCCTGTAGAGCAGTTTGAAGAAAGGTTTTGAAGAAGGGTGATCTGGAAACAGAATGTGGATGTTTAAAAACTGGAAAGCGTGGTAAAGTCTGGACGAGCTAGATGAAAACAAGCCAACGGTTGAATTTTCTGATTTAGGTAAACAGTTGTCTTGAAGGTGTTTTCTTCCCAAGTTTCTTCTCAGATCCCAGTGTCCAGCTTCCACACCAGTCTTACTATAGGGAAGATCACTTAAAAGAAGGCATCAAATAAATGAAGACTTAAGTTACTTGCTTATGCTAATGCCATTTCTCTACTGCTTTGTTCAAAGCTTACTAAATAAAACCCCAAAAGGTTCTGGGGTATGTTTGTGGGCAGGATCCTCCCATTGTGCGTGTCGTGTGTCCCTCTCCGTGTTAGACCAACTGTAGGAGGACACGGCTCCTTCCCC